GAGAATTTTGTATTCTACAATATTGATAATAAATACAAATAGCAAAAAACCCATAGGAAATGAGATATTTCCAAAAAAAGCGCAAAAAACCGATTTTTGTGACCTTTGACCTTGAAATTTAATAGTTGCTTACACCCTACCATATGTAGGTTTTGAGACAACTTTCAGGGTATCAATATACAAGTATTTTCAGACTTACAGCTGGGTATCTCGAATTCCGAGATTCTTACCTAATTTAAGCTTAAATGACTGGATTATTCCTCGAAATATAACATAGATAACTATCATTAATATCGCACATATCACAGGTATTGAATTGTTATGCTTTGAAACTGTTATTCATTCTGCTATGATCACAGTGGTGTCCCTCTGAGGATATATTCCTGTGACCTTGAAAAACATATATTTCAATTTTCTTGAACAGCATCAGTATGAAGTATGTGGCAATTGTAATTTGGATATCATATCAACACGCCATATTCTAGTTTAGACCGCACATAAGCGTTAAACAGTGGTATAATCCTATTTAATATTTTCAAACTCTCTTGTACTTCTTATAATAAAGCCCAACATTCGATTCGCTGACAATTTACACAGTTACTTCTCCGTTAAACGGATATTGAATACCTCAACGTGCTCCGAGGATAATGAATTTCATAACTCATTCGACAGCAGATCGTATAATCAATTTCAATTTGCAAAAAATCTTCACAACCACCCCCATTTGACGCGCGTCAAACTCCATTATCCATGATTTCTATTTTGTAATGCTGTCAATTCTCTCAGCTTGTAGCGTAGCCTGTGCTTTCGGATAAGTTTACGCCCTATTTCCCAGTTCATGTTGGAAGTTGTTAAACTCTCATGTTTCTAGAAGTTTGCCGTCGCAAATTCGCCAGGTACTGTATTTGTTCCCACCCTGCGAGAATACATGAGGGGAATCGAGAAAGTTTGAGTGTCTGACAATATCTGAGTAACAATCAAAATTCAAGGGGATTTTCTTCGTAAGGTACAAAAAGATGAGCACCGTATGCGAACTTGATACTTGTTACGTGAGTGGAAAGTTGGAATTGTATCACCATTCATTCAAGGTAAAAGGGAATTCATAAAGTGAGGAGGGTTGTTAGAAAGAGTACTTACATTTCAAAGAGTGAGTTGTTGAAAAATATAATGATGTTGTAAATTGAAGTCTCAGAAAAACAGATTAGATTTTTTCTAGATACATTTGTATCTGGAAATCTGTATCTGAAATAGTAGTGGCACGAAAAACATTAGTCTAACATTAAAAGAAGTTTTGTAGTCACCTTTATTGAAATTGTAATAGACGATCTACTAGATTCTTCTGGACCATAATTGTCATGCAATATAAGGCTTCGCAGACGACTCAGTCATATTTGAGTCCAGAGCATGATTATATGAGAAGATGCTTTTAGTAGGCCTGAATATTATAACGAAATGTATCAGAGAAGAAAGGNATGCACACTTCAAATACATAACTAAAAAAATATCAAAGAAACTTTACTTTTTTACTCGAATCTCTTATCATTTGTCAGTTTCTTCCAAGGTCACTATATATAACACAATCATTCAGCCTCATTTCGAATATTGTAGTACATTACTATATGGGTGTGATCAAAACAAAATTTCGACTTTACAAAAACTACAAAATCGTGGAATGAGAGTCATATTAAAATGTAATCATTATACAAGCATAAAGTTTATGCTCGACGCATTACAATGGTTATCAATACAAGAAAGGTTCTATAGATCAGCAATGATATTTATTTTTAAGACTATTAATAATATGGTACCATCTTATTTTGATGAATTCATTACTTATCGTGATAGTACTCACAACTACGAGACAAGACAAAGTTATCTTTTTACTTGCCAAGATGCAGATTAACCAGCTCAATGAAAATATTGTTTTATAAAGGTTTAAACGATTTTATTAAGCTGCCAAGAGACATGAAACAAAGCGAAAGTATTTATATATTTAAATCTAAACCAAACAACTTTATTAAAACAAACACAATTTTGTAGGAAAAGACTCAGTGATGCAGAACATCAGTAGTCTCAAACCTTTACATTTATTATCATGTATCAGTATGTTTTAAATTGTTAGTATAGTTTTATCTAAGTTAGTCAACTTTGAATTTTGTTTCCATTTCTATTTTATTTCTCAACATTGTTAGGTTACAGTCATATATATGACTCTAGTTATTAGTTATTATTATTGTTGTTTAAGGACATATTATTATTGTTTACTGATTTTTTATTATTATTGTATATTATTATTATTATTGTATGTATATTAGGATTTCCTAAATGAACGGATTCATTCATTCACTAAGAGGCTAACAGCTGGGCTGAAAATTGTTTCAGTAGCAGTTTTTCAGCATCTAAGGAATCGGTATGAAATGACAAAAAATTAATTTTTTCATTGTTATTATCCTAATTTATACGCTAAAACATCATTTCGAAATCAAAAATTATTTACCTGGTTATCCTGCTGAAATAAAATTACTCCATTCTGTATCTGTAGAGTAGGAAGGGTGAGTGTAAGTCCACAGCACTTAGGCCTCATATGACCCATTGTACATCCTTCCGAGGAGTTGTCCTCCTAGGTCATAGTCTATCCTGTCCTTTCCAGGAAGGTTGACAGCTCACTGTCGCCAGATATTTCTTCGACGCGCCAGCTTTCCAGGGTCGCCCAGGGTGATTCTGGCAAGACTGCATCCTTTGAATCCATGTCACCTCTTTAGGGATTGAGCATGGGTGTAACATTTGGCTGGTTCCGCAATTGTCGAAGTCATCAGGCTGTAGGTGCCACTGGGTCCTAAAATTCTTAGTTCAGCCGCTTCTTTGGCTAAAGAGTCGGCAACGCGATTACGTTTACTTCTGTCGTGCCCTTTAACCCACTTCAGGATAATGTTATTATCTACCAAGGCTTTGGCTAAATCTTGGTGGCACTCAAGTACTAGCCCTGAGGTTTCACGTTCAAGGCTAATAGGGCTCGTCTGTTATCAGTGCAGATTGTTATGTTTTTGCCAGAAATTCCTTTCCTGGTTATTTCTTTTGTGGCGATTAAGGTACCTGCCAGTTATGTTTGGACCACGCTGGTATGTTTGCCATTCCCTACGTAATCCTTAGGCTTAGTGACTTGAAGTACACTACACATCCTGATCCTTCTTTGGTTTTGAGCCGTCTGTATATATGAGTATAGAATTTGTAGCATCTGACACAGTGTTGTGTTTTATTTGTATTTTGTAGGGTTTATTGAACACAAACCTGGGTTCAATTGCATCACTGGTTGCCTGCAGCAGAGGAATGACCCCATTTTCCTGTGGTTCATTTAATGTTGAATACACAAATTCGTTTTTGTTTCCTTCATCAGTTGAACTTTGAATAATATTCCTATCCCCAACCGCATATTATTGAAAAAAAAACCAATTGGTCGTTCCTTAGTACGACTTTGTACAAGCAGCTATATCTGGGAGATCACCTGCCCAATGCAGGGTAATGTTTTGGAGCACTCCGTTTCTTGAATGAAGTGTTGGAAAATCATATATCATAGTTGATGTGTCGGCGAAATCTTGAAAACTTGACGATTTCCTTCCTTGTTACAGGAGCAAGGTAGCAGCTGCTCTTCTCAACAAGCACCTCCAGATCAACGGCATCTCAGCTGGGCTGACGACGCTGCGGCAGTCTGTGGATGAAGGCTTCGTGACTGACGAAAAGGCCGCGGCTGCTGCGGAAGCTGGCACCAGCAGCAAGATGAAACGAGAGCGGAAGGCAGCCAGGACGTTGGGAATCATAGTATCAGCTTTTCTTGCATGCTGGTTACCCTTCTTTTTATGGTGAGCAAAATCAAGGGAATTTCCAAGAAGTTATCTGATATCACTTTCATTGAAAGAACTGAATTAGGTTAGGTCCAAAGTGAGTGGGTTTATTCCATCCTCCACCGCAACCCGCAAGGGTTTATTGTGGCTCACACCTATTTACACTCGACCAAATAAACCCAGCTTCTTGACAAAGCCAATTAGTTCGTATGGTGAGTAGTCTTCCAGTTCAGATAGTAAGAGAACGACTCTGCCGAACTGTAAAAAACTAATTTGGTTTCCAGCTGGGCAAGCACAAAGTATGTGCTCTGCTGTTTGATAATTTGCCAGAAAGAGGCAATACACACTGTCTTCCGACAGTCCTAGTCTCTGCATATGATGATTTGAATGACATTGACCCATAAGAAGGCCTGTTTGACATCGAAGTTCATCTCTACTGTGGTCCAACAACTGTTTGGTATTAAGCTTCGAAGCATTAATAAACGCCTTGTAGTAAGACAATTCTGAAAGATTCTGTCAGAAGTCCATAAATCTTTTTGCCATCCAGGTCTTCAATCTTTGTTTGGCAAAGCCTAAGGCGATACCACTGACAGGTTCTAGTCCGAGGAAGCTGCTTTCAGCACCCTGCTTTGCGAGGGAGTCAGCAGCCTCATTGCTTGCCAGGCCACTGTGGCCATAAATCCAAACCAGAGACAATCTGTTGAGTCTACCTATCGGGGAGTCATTTTTGGCAATTCGCTACCAATATAGACGTTGCTCGCTAGGATCCTAGAGCTTTCAAGGCCCCTTAACTGTCCGAGAATATTTTTATTGACTTGTTTATGGGGTTAGATTCTTCCAATGTCTACGAACACAATTCAATAGCGTGAATTTCTGCTTGAAATACAGTCGCGTAGGTTCCTAGGCAGGTTGATAAAACTGTCCTGGGTCTGCGACTGAAAACACCCACACCAGAACCGGAAGGTGTTGTTTTTGATCCATCTGTGAACCAACAACTATCTGCTCTTGAATTTTCCTTCTCCCGGAGTATCCCGTCCTCTCTACTCGGGAACCGTACTTTATAAGGCAGTTCGTAGTTGACAGTTGGAGGCATAAAGACAGAGGTCATTTCCAGAATGCTGTGACTTCCAGTGTCAACCAACAATCTGTTGCACTCTGCATTAAATTGATTTGTGCAATTGGCAATGTACACAAGTCTATATGCAGTCCGTCTAGCCTCTCTCTCCAGAAAAATGTGGAGAGGAGGTAGATCTAGAAGGATCTCAATGACCGCTGACGGTGTGGTACTGATGGCAACACTGATGGCCAAACAAACCTGTTTCTGTAGACCAGAGAGCTTCACCTGGTCTAACCATCACATGAATCCAATGGATTTGTTTTGGTCCCAAACCCAATTTCAACCAAAAATCTTCGACATGTTAATAGGGACAGTTTGGCTTTGTGTAAAACTTTTTCCAAGTGAGCGTTCCAGATAAGTTTTTCAAAAAGGACAATGCCAAGATATTTCACCTCCGTTCCAAATGGAATGACCTCATCATTGAGGGAAAGTGGCGTTAGATCGTCCAATTTTCTTCCCCTGGGAAAGGGAACTATAACAGTTTTGCTGGGGTTAACAGACATCTGCTTCCTCAGGTACTAACTGTGAACAACGTGCTTTGGAGGATATTACAGCCTATCTTTCCCGACGTGAACCTTGCCAAAATGTAAAAGTCGTCTGCATAAGCATTGCAGATCTACTTTTCTTCTGTAGAGGGCATCAAGCAGACTATTCACCAGGAGCGACCACAGAAGGGGAGATAGTACTCCACCTTGAGGGCAGCCCCTGGTGACCCTGGACCTAATGACCTCGCCTTGAAGAGTCGTAGTTGCAGTTCTGTTTACCAGCATGGCATAGATTTAGCCAGTTGTGGTCGATTCTATACCTTTCCTAGCCAGAGACGATCCTATAGATTTAGGTAGCGCATTTCAAATGATCCTTCAATGTCGAGAAATTTAGCAACAGCAATCTCCTTGTTGTCAAGGAATTGAAAGATTTTCTCTACAAGGTTGTTTGATGTTGAAGCTGTCGATTTGCCGGTTTGATAAGAACTGGATTACTTGGGGGCCCAATTTCATCCTTTGAGATTTTTTTCTATCAATAGATATATTCTTGGGGATATAAGAGTATTTTTCCTTTCAGAAATTGTCGAATTCCGGACTGAAGACACTAAACCATATTGGAAACTTTTATTGCCCCGTATCGTCTTCATGAAAATTATTTTGACATATTTACGGCTGTGACAAAAATGCTTTCCATTCTTCTGCACAGGGTGATCGAAGTTTCCAATATGGTTCCAAATAATCTCAAAGGGTGAAATCAGGCCGTCGAGTTATCCAGTTTTCTCAGTAAAAAGTAATATTAATGTACAGTATATCATTTCTATTGAAGTTTCTATGAAAAATGAGTTCATTTCGTGGAGCGAATGAAAAAATATCATATAATTTTCCAGCTTCCATTACATCATCTACATTAGTATCATTTTTTTTTCAATAAACTATTCAACGTTAAACTTTTTTCACTTATTTAATTTGTGCTGTTCGGATAGCGCTTTCATTCAATTTCAATTCGTAGCGAAATGATGGCCGAAAATCGCTCTGAAACAACATAAAAGGGGGCATAAATTCAAAATTTCGAGAATAAAATGAACAGTGTCAATGTTTATAGTACAAACTTCTCTATGGATCAGTATATATCACGACGCAGTAGAATAAATATTTATTGAGATATGGAGCTACAAAATACATGATTTCGAAACAGACAAAACTTTTGAGACTTCTTGTTCATTTCAGTGCTCTTATAATGGATGTTCTATTCAATACCTTACTCGTTATAGAGTTATCAGGGTATAGAAAGTGATTAGGTGGAAACAATGTGTTTCAAAACTCAATTTTCAAAACAATACAGTCTGCTCGTTTTGCCTAACAGCTTCTGGGATTTCACCCTCTCTAATGATATCCAGGAGAACTCTCAGAATTATGCCTCCTTCAAACGCCTAGCGTCTTCAAAAACACGATCTTATTTGTACTAAACAGAGACAGTAATTGAGTATTCAAGTTACACATTAACTCGGATTATTACCCTCAAAGAAAATCACTTTACTCTGCCATAAATCTTGTCTCGAGGACTTGGTTTTTCACAGCCATAAATGGGTCACTTGTTACGCTAAAACTCCATTATGGAATTAGGCTGATAGTTTATAACGGTTTACAAGTATTTTGGAGTTCATTGTCATTTGATATTAATCACTACTCCTAACCACAGGATTGAGTTGTCGAGAAATAGTGGATTATTTCTTTGGGTGTATATTTTTAAGGAACACCATAGATAAGTGATTTACTAACTTCACATTCTAAGATCGAAATCAGCAGAAACTCTTTGTATAGATAGTTGATGACTTGTTCATTTTGTGCTAATTCATGATCACTTCATTCATTTCATTGAAGAGAACTCTTTGAAGTACTGAAGAAAGGAAGTATTTCAGCCTTTATGCTTTGAAAGACTCTGATGTGAAGAAGCCAATGTTTGTTTTCCTGGATGTTTAACCTTCAGCAACCTGAAATATAAATTGGTGTAGAGTTTAGGGTATATTACACTAGGAATTCAAATGACTGGTCAACGAATAGCCTGAGGATTTCTGCGTTAATTATTTTAGGGTAGGTATACAATTCACTTACTCTACACCCTCTATACTGCCACATTTATCAAGAAGATGAAGTCTTGTAAATATCACCTTTATGCAGATGACTCTCAAATATATTTATCTTTCAAATTTTCAGATTTAAATCAAGCAGTAACTGATATAAATTTTGATTTAAATACGATTCTAAAAGTGTCCACGGTCCATATGTTGAAAATCAATTCAAACAAATCAGTAGCTATTATTTTTGGAAGTGATAGCATCAGAGAAGAAGTAAAAAACTACACCTTGAAGAAGGGAAACTCGTGAGATACAATTTGGACCGTATTCAAAAAATTTGGGGTTGATTTTAGATCATAAACTAAGATTTCATAAACATACAGGGTGATTCAAAAGTACTTTGACAAACTTCAGGAGGTGATTCCTCACAATATTCTAATATGAATTGTCCAAATGAATAAATGTCCGGAAACGCTTCGTTTCCAAGATACAGGATGTTGAAGTTTTATTTTTATTTAATGAAAAGGTTGAGGTTATTTCCTCTTTCACACTATTTGTGTAATACTCTAATCCGAATCTATCAAAAACCAAAGGACTGCTCGAACAGAACTGTAATCTGCTCCAAATAATCAGAGACCCACCTACTCAACATGAATTATGTGAAAAAATAGGAAGAGTCAGCTCATTGACTGACAAAAAAATGACCATCTTCAATGAAGGACCTATACAAAATGGTACGAGAAATGAGATTGTTGGATGTGGTCACACTGAAAGATGGGAGAAAAACAATCATGAGATTGAAGTTTTGGAAGGAACGCAACAAAATGAACAAAATCAGACCTTACCCAAACAAATCAAACAATCTCTGAATTGCACTGAAAACAATTCAATGAGATACCTAGCTACTATCCATCAAATTTTCATGTAATGATCCTTCTGAATATCTCAGTTTCACCCAAGATTGAAATATGATCGACTTTTTGCCAATAAAAGATGCAGCTCTGATAAATCATATATTTTCACCGTCACAACATGCAAGGTCAAACGAAAAATACCCTTGTAACCGTTACCCAGGACGCCGTAATTCCAGCCAAGTTCGCATGCAGGGATCATTAGACAGGCCGATATGATTTATAGCTCTAATACCTTCTGGAAGTAAGGCCGCGCATACCGAGGTGACTGAAACTTCAAAATTTCAGAAACGTGAAACGTGGAATGTTGTTTCCATCAAGCTGTTTTATTTGATATTCTAGCCGCCTCCTGTTACCGTAGCAGAATTTATTGAGTCATTAAATCTGGTCTCGATGGATGTACCAGTTTGGATGGTGCATCCTCAGATTA